GAGCGAAGGCGAAGATAGAAGAGATAAGGAGGATAGGTAGAAAGAATGAGGAGGGGAAGGAAATGGTGTTAGTGAGGTTCGCGAGTATGGGGGATAAAATAGAGGTGATGAGAGGGAAGAAGAACCTGAAGGAAAGGACAGAATGGATCAAGGATGATCTGACGGAGAAGGAAAGAAGGGCGGAATGGTTGATTAAAAGGGAGGCAGAAAGGAAGAGAAGGGAAGGACGGAAAGTGAGAATTGGGTATATGAAGATGTGGATAGACGAAGAAATATGGAGATGGGACGAGGAAAGGGAGTGGAGTGTATGCTGCGAGGTGAAATAAAACGCACCGTGGTTATAACACCTATATTTAATCCTGATACACGCTCTTGACACGAAACTCAGTTAATGCTCGAAACCGGGGACGGTCTACAACTGACTGACTGTCGCTCGAGCCGCCTCAATAATAAGTACGACCTCGGACACGCACACATACGCGCTTACTCGCATTCGGCGCTGTGCGAGAACATCACAACTCCTTTCCCTATCATTTCTTATCTCGTAGTCGCTCGGACCTCCTTGGTGCCGGGTCATCGGTTGCCCGGTAACGCACGATCTGGTCGACGTGTCTCTTCCAGACCTTACCTCCTACCTCTACCTCATAAGTGACCGGCGACAGTTTCCTCGTGATCTTGCCTTCGATTCGCTTGTCGTTGCGTACAGAGAAATCGTCGACCATTACAGTTTCCCCGACAACGAACGTCACCCTGCGCGTACCACCGCGCGCGGCTACCTGGGCCGCTTGTCTCTCGGCTACGGCGTCTCCCGCTTCGGGTCGCAACAAGTCGAAACGCGTCCTCAATTCTCGCCGCGACACCATCCAGGCCGGGCTACGGCCTGTAGTGCAGTGTTCGGTAGCCCGATAATCAAAAAGAAACAACTGGATCGCGTACTCGACAGCTTTTCCTCCCTTGACGATCTTCCTTACCTTGTCTTTGAAAATGCCCACGAAATTTTCTGCTGCGCCGTTCGAGGCTGGATGGTGTGGCGCCGAGAAACTTTGTTTAATACCGTTTTTAGCCAGGAATTCTCGGAACTCCGCGGAAGTGAACTGACGACCGTTGTCGGACACCACATGTCTAGGTAGCCCGAACCGCGCGAACACTTTTCTGAATTCCTCGATCACGCGCGGGGTCTGCGTGCATGTCTTCATGTCCGCGATCTCGGGCCACTTGGAGTGCGCGTCTAGAATGACCAAGTACATGTGACCGAAGAAGGGTCCCAAGAAATCGCAGTGGATTCTGCTCCAGAACTTTTCCGGCCACGGCCACGGTGTGAGCGGCGTCGCATTCGGCGCTTTTCTCTCCCTCACGCAAATAGCACACGCCGCCGCTACGTTTTCGAGCTCTTTGTCTATGCCGGGCCACCAGACGAACGACCTTGCTATCATTTTCATTTTCACTATTCCGAAGTGCGACGCGTGTAGTTCAGTCAGTACGTGCACCTTTAGTGATTCGGGGATTAGTACTCTGTACCCCCAGAGTATGCAACCTTTCTCCACGGCCAACTCGTCTCTTTTCGCGTGAATTTTTTTCTCGTAGTCTAATAGGTCGTTCGTCGCTGGCCAGCCACATGAAATGTATCGCACAATCTTACCGAGTGTGTTATCTTTCTTTGTTTCTCGCGCCACGACCGCGGTATCCACGGATTCCAATGCTTCGTTGACATAATTTATTGCTGTGAACTCGTTGTCGAAAATCTGCAACCCGTCGTGGATTGGGAGACTCGACAATGCATCACAGTTTCCGTTTTCGCTAGATTTAACATACATAATTCTGTAGAAAAAACGTGACAGGAAATAAGCCCAGCGTTGCAATCTACTGGTGGTGGTTAGGGGAATTTCCTGTTTAGGACCAAAAATGAATACCAACGGTTTGTGGTCTGTCTTTAGGATTATGTCCCGGCCGAAAACGAAGTTATAAAACTTCTTGAACCCGAAAATAATGGCGCTTGCCTCTTTGTCGATTATCGCTCTGTGTCTCTCTTTCTCGGGAATTAGCTTCGACGCGTACGCTATGGGACGCTCTGTCCCGTCTTTGTATTGATGGGACAAGATTGCTGACAGGCCATAAGCCGATGCGTCGCAGGCGAGAACCAATTGTTCGCTCGGGTTATAGTGCGCAAGTACTCTCGGCGATATCAGCTCGTTCTTTACCCATTTGAACGCTTTTTCGCACTTGAGGTCCCAACGAAATTCAGTCTGCTTTGCGCAGTCATACAGCGTCCGGAGTTTTTCAGCTCGATTCGGCAGGAACCGGGCGTAATACGTGATTAGTCCGATAAATGAATTTAATTGTTTAAGGTTAGTGGGACGCGGTGCATCTATCATGGCCCTTATTTTATCTCTCGCTTTGTGTAACCCTGTTTTATCGATTACGAATCCCAATACTTGAAGCTTTTCTTCGAAAAACGCGCATTTGTCCACATTAACTTTTAACCCGGACTGTTCCAATCGCGCGCATACTTCGTACAATGTTTGACGGTGATCGTCGTCATTTCTACCGGTTACGTAGATGTTGTCTAGGTACGCGACGCAACCTTTAATTCCTGCCAATACGAGCTCAATTTTCTTTTGAAACTCTCCGGGAGCTGATGCGATTCCTTCCGGCAGTTTAGTGTATCGGAACAATCCTTTGTGTGTGATTATTGTAAGTACCTCGCGCGAGCTCTTTTTCACCGGCATTTGCATGTACGCGTGCTCCAGGTCGATTTCAGAAAATCGTTCTCCGCCTCCTAGTGTGGCGAAAATTTCATCGATCAGCGGCAGTGGGTGGCGATCAATGATCAATTGCGGGTTGACTGTTATTTTAAAGTTTCCGCAAATTCTCACGGCGCCGTTTTTCTTTATTACTGGAATTATGGGTGTCGCCCATACGCAAACATCGACTTTTTCTAAATGCCCCAACTTTACCAATCGATCAATCTCGTCCTCCACTTTCGCCGCCACTGCAAACGGTAATTTCCGCGCTTTCATAGCTACGGGGCGCGCACCTTCCCTTAGTACTAAGTCCAGTTCCCCCTTATTGAATTTACCTACTCCCGGACCGAACAAGTTTGGAAATTTACGTGTCAAGTCGGCCGTTGTGTTATCGCGTTTCGCGGTGTTTACATACAGCACGGCGCTTGACTTGGCTGTCAGGCTCGGCGGCCACATACCCAGCGCATCCAGCCATTGTCGCCCTATCAAAGTCGGCCCTGGTCGTGACATGATTACCAAATCTAAATAGGCTATGACCTCATCGATTTCGACTTTGATACCTCTGAGCACCCCTTCGTGCTCTAGCTTCACTTTGCCGTAAGCGTTGAATGTTTTATTCAGTTTTTCTAATTCAATGTGGGGGAATAATTTATC